AATAAAATTCATTTCAAAAAACCTATTTTTAGCCTCAGCTGATCTCTTCCTGCCTTTGAGCGATTTCTTGTTCAATTTTATGACCCGAAATTTCGAAGATTTTGGCGTTTGCTTTATTTTCGAGTGCTTTGTTGATCTAAATGAAAAATTCGTAGAGAATTAAATAAGTGAAATGATAATAAACAGCTTAAGAGCCTACGAATTGTCATTTGCTCTCTCGTTCTCGCTCTATCTCTATCTCTATCTTTCTCTAAATACGCGATCAGCAGCTTTTGCACTTTCGTCCCCATATCTTCCGCTCTCCCTCGCTAGCAGCCAATGAAGAGGCCTCTGTGTGCATTCAGCCGTGTGAGAAACATTTTTCATTTTAAATATATTTATTTTATTTTATTTTGTTCATTCATTTTAATTTGTTGCAAAAGCACTGAAAATGTAACAACGCCAATATGAATATTTGCTGTGTTCTAAATGTAGTTGCTGCCTGTCGTTGTTGTTGTTTGCTGTTGTTGTCGTTGTTGTTGTTGGTGCTTTACCGTCAAATTGAAACGCGCAGCACAAAATAAATTGACATTGAACGTAAAATTTATTGAAATTGTTTACGTGGGACCTGCAATTGTTTTGCGGTGTTATTGTTGTTATTGTTGTTCCTGTTTTCTATTTTGTTCTTATTTTTATTCTGTTGCCGTGGGTCGTTTTGAAAATGTTTGGTATCTAGAATTTATGACATTTCACAGAGTGTACTCATAATTTAATTTATTTTCACAAATAGTAGAATATGACGTCAGCAACTACATAAAATATGTATATATTCATAAAAAGTTTTGGGCAGTTCAATTGTTTATGCTTGCTTATTTGATATATGTACTTTCAAGATACTTGATATAGTTAGAGCTTTCTAATGGCAGTAATATACTTGCATATTGTATAAGGATTACATATATTCCAAAGACATTTTACGCCAGAGAAGCTTGCATACAACTTTTATATAGAAAAGCAACCAAAGCAATTCTACTCCAAAAAAAAAAAAAAAACCTTAAAACAATTTCTTTTCTTTTTTTTGTGTTTTTTTTTTTTACATTTCACCCAACACACACAGACAACCTTCCGCATTTCTCCCACATACCGTTGGATGTTTTCTGCTCCAGATACGCGACTTGAGCCCTTTGGCAACTGCACTCGAGTGCAGCGAGGCTTGGCCATAGCAGCATAGCAGAGACCTGGCCAAAACGCCTCTGCCGGACAATGTGCTGCAATGTCCGTGTACATTGGGCCAACTATGTGTTATATCTGACGAAAGTCCGGCCATATGGTGAGCGGGCACGTACCAAGTTTTTCCCTCGATTTTCTAGTCGAGATTTTTTGCTGTTTACTTTCCATTTGTGAGCGAGCGAGCGCGCAAGCTCTCTCTATCTCTCCTTCTCTGTGCTCGACTGAGTTGCCCTGGCGCTTCCTACTCATAACTTTGGTGCGCTGTCTGTCTGTCTGTCAGTCCAGCATGTCTCTGGTTACAATTTTGCTGGTGTTTTGCTTTGTGTTTTTTTTTTTTTGCTAGCTGTTTGCTTTATGCTTTTTCCTCGTTGGCTTTGCTCATATTTCTGACGCGGTCACTAACGGGGCACAAAACTTTGAGGGCCAATGGCTTTTTAAGTGTGACTAATTATGAACTCGTCTTAATGTCTTAAGCACTTGAAGCGTTAGGCCGTTGCGGTTCGATGAACTCCACCCATACCTTGGCAGGCAGCAGTGCCTGGACAATGCACCAGCAAATGTGCAGCATTGATTTTATGTCCCCGTCAAAAGTCTTTCGGGCGTTGTCAAAGAAGAAAAAAAAGAACCAAACTATATGAAATAAGAAAACTTGGCTTAAAGCAAATTGGCAAAGAAAGAGTGAGAAAGCAAAAAGAGAATGTTGCACAAGCAAATTTATCGACCTTCGGCATTCGCCTGTCAATGTGCTCAGCCTCCGTTTGCCAGTCGAAATGTATTGACAACAACTGCGCAAATATTTGGCAACATTTTGTTGCAACGTTGCGGAAACTGCGGAAATTATGCAGACAATTTGCAACCAGACACAAGTTCTACATTCAATTTGTTGCCCCGCCAATGCTAAACGAACAGAGCAGGGAGCATATCAGCAAATACTTGGCTTGGCTTGGCTTGCTCTACTTGAGAGCTCTCAGGTAATCAGTCAATTTTGTTGGCTAAACTTTGGCTTGGAGCCAAAGTGAATCGAAAAAGGCTAACGAATTCAGCATTCAGCAGGTCAAAAACTTATGTGGCCCAAACAGAATTGCATTGCTAAGCATTCAAATTATGTAATACCACAATGGGCGAGTACTTAAAGA